AATTTTTGACTATTCCTGAGTTTTGTACAACAGAATATTCACTGCCAATAAACAGAATTACAAAAAAATACCTTTATCAATTGATCTCTCACTATATACTTTAAATTTGGAAAAAACTCAATTTTTTGATTAATATTTAAAGTTCAAACATCCAATCCAATTAAAATTTCCTAATTTCACAAATCAGAAAATTTGATTAGTTTCATACATTCATATAAATCAGGAAATTGATTCGTTTCTCATTCAAATTGTAGACTCTGCTTAAATTATTCCAAAATGCTATTATTATCATTATATCTTCAGTTATATTGCTTCTAATATCACCAATAGTTAAAGCCACAGTCATATATTTTTTGACTTACTCTTATATTATTATTAATCATTCAATATATCAATATTAATGTTATTAATAAAATTTGTATTATAAAGTATCCCTAAACTATACTTTCAATTATTAACAACACTGCAATTTTTCTTATTTACATAATTACTTTATATAGTCTACCGACTTTAATTCAAAATCTAACCTTTCTGTTTAAACTTGTCTTTATCATCTTTCATCTAATTAGTTAATATTATTCGAAACCCAATCCCAAAAACATTATATTTTTTTTAATTTAAAATTAAAATAATACTGATTCGAATATCTGTTATTTCTGCAAAAAAAAACAACAATATCGTGCTGTTTTACTTATTACTTTTGTCAAAACTTTCAAATTCTACAAACTACAAGTAAATGATAAATTAATTATATAATGAAAAACATTGCTAAAACTGCCCAATTTAGCCACTTTAAAACTACTTTAAAATAGCTATAAAGTAACTATAAAGTAACTATATAGTTACTTTATAGTAGCTATAGTTATACATTTACTATAGAGTAGCAATATGCCTACTACTACTTGCTACTACTTTATTACTACTTTGCTACAACGTTATTATACTTTTATTACAATTTTATAAAATTTTTTTTTTAAAAAAAAGTTTTGAAACTTTTTTTTTTAAAAAAAATTATAGTAAAGTAGTAGCAAGTAGTAGTAGGCATATAGCTACTTTATAGTAAATGTATAACTATAGCTACTAGAAAGTAACTATATAGTTACTTTATAGTTACTTTATAGCTATTTTAAAGTAGTTCTAAAGTGGCTAAATTAGCAGTTTCAGCAATGTTTTTTCACACCTCTTTTTATATTTCGACACTCTCTATATAAATATAGTAGCATATATATATATATATACTATATCTGATATCTGATATCTAGACTAAACATGTGATAAAAATTGTTATAACTTAAGCTATATCAAGCTAAAGTTTATGTCATAACTAGTCACAGTATAAGCTATAGCAGTTTTTACAGAATCTTTGATCTAAATACATAATTGTCTAGAGCAAAGCAGAGAACACTTTGTTTTTACAACACTGTTTAATCGATAATGTCATGTGTATTACATATATCCATTTGTTCATTTTTGCTTACCTGATTGGCTACTACTTACATGCTTATTGATACTTATAAAATTCAGAATAAAATTGGTATAAATTCGATGGCCGAATTCAGGTCGATTCGGCTATTTTATTCGGTAGTCGATTAATTACAATAAATCGACTTATAATCGACCACTGAATACTTATAAAATTCGGAATAAAATTGGTATAAATTCAATGGCCGAATTTAGGTCGATTCAGCCATTTCATTCAGTAGTTGATTAATTACAATAAATTGACTTATAATCGACTACTGAATACTAATAATCAACAACTGCTTACTAATAATATTTGGTATAAATTTGATAGTTGAATTCAAGTCGAATTGGCTATTTTAATTGATTGTCAATTAATAATCAACGATCAATTACTATGTAATAACATTTGTACAAATCAAATTCTGGATGATTTTAACATATTATAAATTTATTAAAACAAATTAGATACAAATTTAAGAAAAAAGAAAAAAACAAAGTAAGAAAAAAACAAAAAAAAAGAAAAGAAAAAGAAGCGAATAAAATTTGAAAAAAAAACAAAAAAAGAAAGAAGAAAAAAAAATTAAACCCTTTGTTTTCTTGAAAGTTCCTTTAAGATATCAGAAGCTGGTCTTTTACTATGACTTCTAGCATTCCTTCTTTCGTCATCCCTCCATTCACTATCATCATCAGAACTCTCATTCTCATCCTCATCTAACTCATCCTCTTCATCCTCTTCATCCTCTTCCTCCTCTTCCTCTTCTTCCTCTTCATTGTCATCATCATCATCACTATATTTATCCCTTACTGCCCAATTAGGCAGATTATCGGGTCGAGGAGCCATCAATATATACGAGCTTTGGCAGGGACATTTGGAATTAAATTGCACGGCTGTATCGAGGACACCATACAACAATTCGGTTAACTATTAAAATAAAAAGAAAAAATCAACATGCAAATAAATTAATTAAATTAGTATTTCTGTTATCGCCATTCGACTGATGTTCGGTATGTCGAATGATATGCTATATATATCATTTGACATACCAAACATCAGTCGAATAGTGGTCGAATTTTTGCTAGTGTAACAGAAAAAAAAAAAATTTATACCTTTTTTGACCTCCAAGCCAAGCCATGGATGTTAACATACAGACAACCTCTTTCATCTGTTTCTTTATCAGGGTCCGACATCTCAGGTGAATAGATGTCATTATTGGCCAAAACCTTGGTTAATTCGTCCATGTCATAGCCAAAAAGTCAAGTATTCTTTTTCGAATAAAGGTACTTGAATGCCGAAGCTCACCAAGACATTTTCTATAAAATTAAATCAAAATATTGAAAACTAAAATTTAGTAAATTATAACTTAAAAATCGACTTAAATTTAGCTAAGTCAATTTTTTATAACATTTTTTTTTTTTTTTTTTTTTTTTTTTTAAGGTATCCTTCGGGACCGAGCTTTATTGATGTTTAACTGTTGACCACGTGGGTCTTACATTTAGTATTACAATGAGAGTACAACTAGCCACACGTACAACTTTTGGTTGCCTATTTAAGTAGTCCGCCCAAAGGTTCTATACTAGATGCCATGCCTATAAAATTTTTTATGACTTAAAATTGACCTAACTGAATTTAGGTCGATTTTAAGTTATAATTTATAATATATATATAATTTATATATCGCCTCTTCAGTAGTTTTCGTGGATCTGTTCATTGAAATGGGTGCTTCAGGTTGGATTCCGATGTATACTCCAAGTATTGTGAGATGATTTGAGATGCTGTCTCAACATGTTAGCCAACTCGGTCTGATTGGTGCCATATTTCTCTC